TGGTAGGTACCTATGAGATTTTCAGGAAGCAATTGGCACATGAATGGGTTTACAAATAGAGGAATACTCGGAGGAATAATAAAAAAATAGTCTTACCAGGAGTCTAACACAATTTCAGATATTGGTAGAAGATCCAAGAGCTAGTAAAAGAAATGCAAATCGCCAGATACCTAAATTGAATGCTCTACTGCATTGGTGGATATTATTATTGCACTAATATGCAAGAACACAAAGGAAAAACTCTAATTTCAGCACCTTTTGTAAATAAATTTTAATAATTATTATTGAAGCTTTTTATTATTTTCAAAGACATTTTGTCCCACAAAACACGATCCAATTTTTTTATGTATACCTAGGTACGTAAAATAGATACTTTATTTATTTTCAATGGAAACTAATGGTACAGCATGCTTTGTGCCTATTATTTTATAAACCAATAATAAAAAACAAAACAAATACACAAGGTGAGAAAGAGGTTCTGTTGTCAATAGGCTTTTTTGGAAACGCTGAACAACCTACATCAGCTGCTGCTCCAACGGTTCGGGGTTTTCGAAAACGCCTAATTATGACATCACGAATTGACTGGTGGCACCATCTTCGAAAAAAAGCCTGAACCATATTTGCCAAAATATCTGTAATTTTATTCCAAAATCGGTTTTAGACTACAAAAAAAAACGGCACATCAGAATTTGCTGAAATTTGGCATAAACATTCTTTGATCGATTATCTAGAGAATAGTGCTCTTATTTTTTCAATTTTTACCGTGGATTTTTCTATTTTTGGGAAATAGTTCATTTTCACAATATAGGCCAAAAAAAAATTCGAAATATGGAAAATCTAACTGTACTATTCTCTAGATAATCGATCAAGGAATGTTTATGCCAAATTTCAGCAAATTCTGATGTGCGGTTTTTTTTTGTAGTCTAAATCCGATTTCTGTATTTTGTATCGTGTGCATGGGAGCGATGTTGTCCCCTTAAAGTGCAAAAGTTTTATTTTATTTAAGTAAATATTACTACAATTTTGATATTTTTTGAGCTACCCTGTATGCTGTTTGACTTGCAACCATTCTAAGTGATATGATTATCAAACATGCACCAACTTTTGGCCTTGTTTGTATTTTGATTGTGCTATTACTAAAAAAAAATCCCATTTGTTGCACACTTACATAGGTAATGACACTGTATATTATATTAATATTAACCTATATTTGATATTCGTTAAAAACCTGTTACTAGTATTTTTCAATTGTCAGATATCATTATCAGCATTATGATAAAATTGTCAGATCTACAGCATAGTAATTTCTCGCAAAATCCATAACAGTAGACCTACATTATATTTTTTCAAATGGAACACCCTGTATATTACTGCAGTTTATATTTTAGTCCACTCGTTTTTAATAAATTGGCAAAAATATGAAACTTTTGAAGTAAAACTTAGTAGGCGGCGATCTAAATTTGGGATGAGAATTATTGAGAGTGTATAGTGAAATTAATAAAATAATGTATGTACGTCATCAATGAAGTCGAAATTATTGCCAATTGAAGTTTGTATGAGAAATTAAAATTCGTTTCAAACTCAGAGTGTATTTTCTTGTTGCCAAATGTTCTTTTCGGCAAATCTTCAATTCTGAAGATGTGACAGTTTTTAAAAAGTCGGGAATTGAGAGTTCGGATATAATTTAAGTATACTTGTTATAAATTTGTATTAATTAAATTTGGTTTTTTTGGTATTATGTAGTAATTTTCATTAACTTATTAATGGAAATGTAACGTGGGAAGATGAAAAACTTTACTAGACATGCGGTATGTCAAAGTAAAACGAAGTTGATGCGGCAACATTGCGACGTGCTTACTTCATAAATTTTGATGACGTGCATCTATTATTTTATTAATTTCTCTATGCATAAAAATTTCATATTCTTGCCGATTTGTCGAAAACGAGTGGACTGGAATATAAAGGGTGTTATATCATTGTAATCGAAATAAGATTTTCTATTAAATACATACATATATAATATACAGGGTGTTCCATTTAAAAAAATATAATGTAGGTTTATATGTCAGGAAATTGATAGTGTTTTCTTTTATGTGTAACTTGTAAAACAACTTGGCTACTAACCCTAAATTTTGTTCTTCTGTTTACCTTGATATCTTTAAAAACAAAAAAGTTGCAAGTGATCAAAATGATATCAAAGATAAAAAAACACCCGGTATATACAGATACGCCTATTCGCTTCCAAACATTGAAACACAACTAGATTCCCAAATGTGAAGTCTTCATCACAATTAACTTGTGCCTATCAAAGAACAGTGTAAACCATACACAGCATTCGAAACTGCTGGAGATTTTGTATCATCTCCGAAAAAAAACCTTTTGGGGTAACAAAGAAAGTATTGCTTGCTCACAGAGTACCAGTTAATAATTTTAGAAGAAAAATTGACAGGTGTATATTTGGCTTATGTAACCGTCTGTTTCGAATTCAAGAAAAAGGACCCCGCACACCTCTTATGGGTACCTATTTAGTTTTCTGTCAAACTTAAACAAATTTTGATATGTTGTTGTTGTTGATCTTGACTTCCTGATAAAAAGTTTTCATGGGCCCGAACCAATCCTATGATTAGTTTTTGAGATACAGGTACTTTAATGTCCAAGAAATGTACACATTTTATATGCATTTACCGTTAATACAACCAAATACAGAGTGTCCCAGCCGAGAGTGACCCATTTTAAATGCTTGTAACTTTTAAACCAGGTGTGCTAGCTACCTGCGGTTTGTGCCATTCGACTTCTCTTGGCCTAATGTTTTTTTAAGTAGGTTGCAAATTTTTTTGCCTCTTATACAGAGCGAGTAAAAAAAAAATCCGTTTTTCAACATCGAAATTCTCCACTATTTTCAATGGAACGCCCTGTATAACACAACGTCAAAAAAAAGAGTCATGTTTAAGGTATCCATGTCCCAATAATCATCATCCTTTAAACTTGAAGTTTTAGCCGTGAAAAATTGAAATCGAAATCCTGGAATTTTTGCAAAAGCATCATGCAACTTCATGTTGTAGATACTTGCTATCACTAGGTATGGCAAACAATTTTGTAAATATCAAAGTTAGAAATCAAGAGAATTCAACGAGTTCCAGTGAGAATAGCGAAAAGTATTAGTTTGATATGCAATCTCTGTTGAGAAAAAAATTCGGACCATTTTTCATTAATGAACCAACGATAATAGGAACCAACTGTATACACTGATATGTTGGGAAATTTATTTTATCTACAATTAAGACGGTAGGGTCTCTTGAAAGATATCTTTTTTCAGCAGGATGGTGCCCCACCTCATTATTCTTTAATAGCAAGGGAATCACTAGATATGACATTTGGGAAAAGATAGATAGGGAGAGCTGGTTCTATAGAATGGACATCTTACTCTCCTGACTTGACAGTTCCAGACTTTTTTGTCTGGAATGGAATTATGTCAAGGAGAGATCCTGTAATTATTTGCCAAATAGCTTGGAAGATCTTAAGTGGAACATTCGTAATGTCATTGAAACGATTCCCCAAGAAATGTTACACAATTTATTCAACCATTTACTGATCCATTAATGCGTGGAACATAATGGCTAACATATACAGCATTTTTCATAGTTTTATGCAGTTTTTATTAACTTTTTAGTAGGCAAACATAATTTCCAAGCTTTATAAATATGCTTGAAAAAATATCAGGATTTCGATTTTAATTTTTTACAGCTAAAACTTCAAGTTTAAAGGACGATGTTTATTGGTACATAGATACCTTGAACATGACTCTTTTTTTTGATGTTGTGATATACAGGGCGTTCCATTAAAAATAATGAAGAATTTCGATATTGAAAAACGTTTTTTTTTTTACTCGCCCTGTATACGAGGCAAAAAAATGTGCAATCTACTAAAAAAAACTTTAGGCCAAGAGAAGTCTAATGGCGTAAACCGCAGGTAACTAGCACACCTGGTTTAAAAGTTATAGGCATTTAAAATGGGTCACTCTCGGCTGGGACACCCTGTATTATGCCAGGATGGACAGGTATCTTCACGCTCAGGTCACAGGTAGATGTAAATGCATATAAAATATGTACAGTGGGAATCATTACAATTGGCACACTATACTCTTTCAACATCCCTCGTATTAAGTCAAAATTCTAACCAATAAATCTGCAGCGGTGTACAAATATTTTTTTCCTTCAAAAGTTTATTAAAACCAGATTAAAACTATTATGTTCACCACTTATCAATCTGATATGATATTGAAATTACCTGTGTGTCAATGAAGTAAAATTTTGACATATTACGGAGGATGTTTATATAGTGTGTGCCAATTGGGTGCTAGCTGATGTCTCACACATAACCTCAATGACATGTTTGTCCCCCTAACGAAAGTCACGTTTTGTCATTGGTGACAAGCTAGCGCCTGTGAGTTGCATAGACCTTTCAAACGCATTGTTTGTCCCCCCAACGGAAGTGAGGTTAGAGGAGAGTGGGGCAACTTCGACATGCGGGGCAAGTTTGTCACCGCGCTTTACTAGGAATTGGTTGGATTCGGAAATTCCGAAACTGGCTTGAGGGTGAATCGCACGTATCAGAAGGGTACGGACATGCCGAAGATACATGGATGAGCGCGGTGGAGGTCGCGGTCGCGATCGCTACATCGATGTCAAGACAAACCTTTATTTTCTTATGAGACCGCACATACCAAGGATGCTTCACTAGTTCACCCTCGCCGCCTATCATCGCAGTTTACAGCGATGTCGATGGCAGAACAAAATATTTTGATTTTATATGGCGGTCGAGCTGTTGGCCGCGTAGAAACTGCATGTTCATTGGTGCTCTTTAAACCACATGACATTCTCGAGTGAGTGCGGAATGAGGAACGTGTTTATTTTTTAAGTTTGTTGTGGTATTTCGTTGTTCAAAGGTTGTGAGACGCTTGGAGTTTAGTTTGATTTATCTTCAATTTAAATACATGGACAATGAAAGATGAACTAATAGATTTGGTGTTTAGTGTTCCTGCTTTATGGGATAAGCGCCATAAACAGCACCACAATAAGCATGTTCTGGCAAGAGAGTGGAAGAAAATAGCAGCAAAAGTTAAAGTGACAGGTATGTATATTAAATAACATACAGAGTTTTCCATTTAAGAATAATGTAAACAATTTTCATAATTTTTAAAACTGATATATTGAACCTACAATTAGACTATTATTTAACTCAGTACAATGTTATATATTATCATCATGCTAAGAAACTATTACTATTGTAAATTCAAAGGATTGACGGCAAAAAACTCTGTAAATTTTTGCCTAATTAGTTTTGCTCTGTTAGTTGAAGCATTATGTTATCTAGACCGTTGTAAATTACATCTTTCTGGGATTGGAGGAAGGTCTGAAATATTTAAAAGATATGACTCTTTGTCAATGATGATGTTGTGTAGTATACAGATTGCTTTAATAATACAATCGGCAGTTTCTTCGTGTGTTTCAATAACACAACTCAAAATTCGCCATTTCACAAATAATATTCCAAATGCACACTCTACACATTTGCGAGCGCGAGATAATCGCTTATTGAAATTTTCTTGTGAGGGGTTCAACATTTGTCCAGAATAGGGTTTCATTAAGTTTTCTTTTAGAGGATAAGCTTCATCAGCAATAAAAACATGAGGTAGTTTATGGTTAGAATTAGGTAATTTTGTTTCCTCTGGAATTCCTAATTTATTTTCTTCCAACAATTTGGAAATTCTTGAAGCCTGGAAGGTTCCACCGTCACTCTGCTTTCCGTAGCCACCAACGCCAATAGAAATAAATCGATAGTGGTCATCAACTAGCCCTTGTAAAACTATGGAGAAAAAATGTTTGTAGTTGAAAAACATAGAACCTGAATGAGAAGGACACTTTATTCGAACGTGTTTGCCATCTAATGATCCAATGCAGTTTGGAAAATGCCAAAGTCGATTATATTCTTCAGATATCCGTAAAAAATCGGCCGTTGTGGGCTGTTTCATGTGAAGGGGCTGGAACACTTCCCATAAAGCTGCACATACTTCCTTAATAATTTTTCCAACTGTAGAGGATCCCATCCTAAACGAGAAGGCCAATGATCTGAAGCTGCATCCGGTCGCAAGATATCTGAAACAGTATAATATATTAAAACAAAGAAAAACTTTACAAAGCAAGAATAATTAGTATACGTATGTTTCTTTCACGAAAATTAATTTTTCAATTAATTATGTATAGTAACTATTGTTGTCGTGAAAACCCCGAGTTTTAAGTTTATTTTTTGTTACAGAAGAAGAAGCACGAAAATGTTGGAAAAATGTGAGGCAAGAATATGGAAAACAAATAAAGAAAATTCAGGGTCGGTCAGGAGATGGAGCAGAGAATGAAATAGTTTGCCAGTGGCCTTATTTTGAAAAATTACATTTCTTACGTGATCAGTTCACGCCTCGTTACTCATCTACAAATTTAATAGATGAAACACAGGACACTGTGGAAAGCAATCCAGAAGATTCAAATCTAGAGGAATCTGATACTGACGCTGAACAATCTACCTCCACCTCAATAACAAATGTGCTGAGCCCTAGTTCCGAATTACAAGATGTGGTTGCAACTACATCATCTTCAAGTCGTGCTACTTCAGGTTCAAAATACTCTGTTACCCAAACGGGCTATAAAAGGCGAATAACCCCACAAATAGAAATTGGGAGACAGCTAGTTGACATTGAAAAAGAAAAACTAGCCTTAAGGACAAATAAAATGTCCCAGGATCCCAATGATGATGATATAGGGTTTTTCAATTCCCTTCTTCCTTATGTGAAAAAATTGACGCCTAGAGATAAATTAAAATTTCGAATGGATATGCAGAACTCTTTATTTGAATTCCTGTATCCTTCAAAACAGCAGACGCTGGCCTGTTTAGTACCTGCTGCCAGTGCTGCCACCCAGATAGAACATGGCCCGCATGTTCAACCTGGTCCTTCTCGGTGTGAACCAGTTTGGAGTAAGCAGACTTTGCTGCCGTATGAATCGAGGTACGAATTTCCCTCATCCATATCCACAAATCAGACGTCAGCAGACTTGGACTCTTCAAGCAACTTGTTTCGATTAAATTAAATAACAATTTAAAATGTGAATTAAAATTAAAAATTTAAAATGTGGTTACGCTTACCTTATTGTCACTACTAGTTTTTCTTCAGCTAAAATCGGATTTGTATGATAGTTGTTATAATTGCAATGTTCAATTTTCGTTTTTATGTTGTCATAAATATACTGGAATGTATCTAGACCCATTCTCATGTAAGCATGGAATCTGTCAGAATGGTCTCGAAGCTCTTTAAACAAGTGATGGTATTCCCCTAGATATTGCCTTTTCTGGTTTATCGGATGAGCACTAAACTCGCGATTTGAAGAATTACATATAATCCACCACTTTCCACCTGCAGATATACCATCACTGTCTTCACTGCTGTTGCTTCTATACATAGTTAACTGTTTAATAATAAAACAGCAAATTTCTTCCAACTACGTGTGTCTTCTTTGAAACCTCAAAGAACACTGAAAGCCGAAAGCTTTGACTTTGACTGAAAGGAAAGCATCTTTGGCATGTTTTGCCCAGCATCGATGTAAACCTCGACCGCGACCGCGACCTCCACCGCGCTCATCCATGTATCTTCGGCATGTCCGTACCCAGTTGCTCCTTAGGTCTGAAGAAGGTAGCTACTCAATTTTTCACATTAAACGCAATTATCGAGTTTCTAAATTTCTGATCTGAGGATTGGCTATTACTTTAATAATACTTTCGTTCCATTAGAGCGTTCTTTTTCGCAAGTTAATTTTTACAGAGTGTCTTTGACCCATCTTTTGTAGAAATATTTGATAATAGGCGGTAAAACAGGCTTCTGTAAGATGTTTTTAAATATTTTACTAGAATCCGCTTGGGTGGGGCAACTTTGCCAATCGTTATTTCGGCACTGTCGAACTATTATTTTTGTTTCTAGGATGCTTAGAGATTATAAAAAAAAACGATCTGATGCATACGAAGAAGATTTGTTAATTTTTGCTGTGATTTAGGTAAAAAATAAAATTTAAGTATTTGTATCAGAATAATGCTGTCGAATTTGCCCCCTAGGGGAGGGCAAGTTCGTCATTTGACATTGATGCAAAAAAAAATTATTTTTCTCTTTGACTTTATACGATACTTATTGGTTTTAAATGCCTATTACCTACTAAAGAAATGTTATCACTATGTTTAGAAAAAGTTGTGTTTATTTCTGTAAATACAAATCGTTTTTAAAATCTTGCAAACCTTAACATGTCGAAGCTGCCCCACTCTCCCCTATGTGTGAGACGTCAGCTAGCACCTAATTGCAAATGATTCTTACTGTACATTTCTTGGACAATAAACTAGCTGTTTCTCAAAAACTAGTTAGAGGATTGGTTCGGGCCCATGAGACCTTTTTATCAGGATGTCAAGGTCTAACACATCAAAATTTCATCGAGTTTGACAGAAAACCAAATACCCATAAGAGGTGTGGGGTCCTTTACAGAAATTTCTAAGTCTTGTGAGTTGCAATTGTTGCATATTTTTCTTTATCATAAAATCAGATCCTTGATTTTGAAACGATAAAGACAGACATTGTCAATTCACTCTTTTGGTCAATAAATGGAAATGAGATTTCAGTTATGGCAACTGATGTATCAGAATTCTTTATAGCTGTGTCTGAGCTAATAGCTGTATATTTTTTTTCAAAGACCTTGTCTGAATCAGAAAGGAAGCATTTATCTTGGAAAAATAGGCTTATGCATCTATAAAGACGCTAAGAAAATATTATAGACTATCTAATAGGACGACATTTCAAACTTGTGACAGATCAGCAAACAGTTTCGTTTAAATTTTATACCAGACATTCTAGTGATTAAATGAAAACATCACGAGTTTTGAAACTTGAACTAGCTTGCTACATCTATAATTTTATTTTTAGGTCTGGACCCTGGAAACAAAAACACAGTAGCTGATGCATTCTTGAGAACTTCAGCAAGTTGTGTAATAGACAAAATATTCCAACTTCATCAAGATCTGTGTCATCCGGGCATTACTAGGATGTACCATTTTCTCCGAGTAAAAAACCTACCCTATTCTTAAGAAGACATGAGAAAAATGCGTCCGGCTCGGTGTGTAACAAAATCAAACCAAAATTTCACAAAAACACCTGATAATGGTAACAAAACCATAAGAACGCCCATATTATTATTTTAAAGGACCATTGCTAAAGTTTACCCTTACCCATCACCTTCAAAAAGTGTTCATAATTACATGCTTGTTAATAATTGAAAAGCGGGAAACTCTCCTCGCAGATGCCTGCTGTATACGAGCACTAACTGTACGCCTCATTAGAATTTTTTTGCGTACCAGAGAAGGTCAACAAGTGGCACATCTATTACATCTTGGTTGTCAACACCATAGAAATTTCTTACATAAACACAAAATAGAAAAAGCAAAATATTATGATCGTTTAGTTGAGGAAGCAGATCTTGGATGCTAATCCCGAATATGCGAATATGCCTGGATACGCTTTGATGTTGGGAAAAAAGCTACCATTTAAGTGAAACTTTTCGCACCAAGGGGAGATTGGAATAGTGAGGAAGGAAACAATTTGTATTTTGTGCACAATTCGATTTATTGAAACTCAGTGTAGTAGAGTGCTTTCGGTTTTCGCCATCTTCATTCTGTACCTACATGGAAGATAAAATTGTAAATGAACGCTTTTTTTTATTTTTTCATTGAACGCCTAAATTCACAAACATTATTTCTGAACTTGGGTCAACTTTCGTTTAGCAGAAATCAGCTATTAGGAAAAAAAAATTGAAAAATGCCTTCAAAAAGCCTCCATAAAAACGAAAACACACAAATTTTTCTGCGGAAATGCTTCATTTCCATTTTCCGAACTTTAGAATAGCAGAAATCAGTTATGTGAAAAATTTTTGTTTGTTTGCATTTTTAACATTTTTCTGAACATACAATCACAAAAATTTTGCTGCGGAAATAAGCTGTTACCATTTTCCGGAAAAATTTATGAGTCTTTAGAATAGTTGAAATCAATTACGTGAAAAATTGATATTCCTTTGCATTGTAAACATTTTTCTAAATGTAAAAAAGGAAAAATTTTCTCGCGGAAATACACAGTTTCTATTTTTGAAGCCATTCAAAAAACGCCTCTTCCCGACCTTTGATGAAAATAAATGCGGAAAATGAACATTTTCCATCAGAAAATTATATTTAAAATTGACGATTTGGCCCACTCATTGAGATGGCCCACCCTTCGAAAATCAACTACGAAAATTCCCTACTATCGGTCGCTTTGTTATCAACACTTTGACCAGTAATAAACGAACTGTAACGAAACTAACCACAAATATGCAAACTAACCGAAACTAACCCATCCACGTAATGCGTGCTAGTCTCTGCATCTAAATAATGAATTTAGAAAACAACAGCGCGCTTTGTTAGTAACCAGTAATCCAGTACACTTATAACCAGTATTAAATGAACTGTAACGAAACTAACCAAAAATATGCAAACTAGCCCAAACTAACCCGTCCACGTAATGCGTACTAGTCCTTGCATGTATTGAATTTAGAAAATAAACAGCGCGCTTCGCGCGCTTTGTTATTAACCAGTAGTCCAGTACACTTGTCTTACAACCAGTAATAAATGAACTGTAATGAAACCAACCAAAACTATGCAAACTAGCCCAAACTAACCCGTCCACGTAATGCGTATTTACTAGTCCTTGCATGTATTGAATTTAAAAAAAAAAAAAAAACAGCGCGCTTCGCGCGCTTTGTTATTAACCAGTAGTCCAGTACACTTATAACCAGTATTAAATGAAATGTAACGAAACTAACCAAAAATATGCAAACTAGCCCAAACTAACCCGTCCACATAATGCGTACTAGTTCTTGCATGTATTGAATTTAGAAAATAAACAGTGCGCTTCGCGTGCTTTGTTATTAACCAGTAGTCCAGTACACTTGTTTTATAACCAGTAATAAATGAACTGTAACGAAACTAACCAAAAATATGCAAACTAGCCCAAACTAACCCGTCCACGTAATGCGTACTAGTCCTTGCATGTATTGAATTTAGAAAAAAAAAAAACAGCGCGGCGCGCTTTGTTATTAACCAGTAGTCCAGTACACTTATAACCAGTATTAAATGAAATGTAACGAAACTAACCAAAAATATGCAAACTAGCCCAAACTAACCCGTCCACATAATGCGTACTAGTTCTTGCATGTATTGAATTTAGAAAATAAACAGTGCGCTTCGCGTGCTTTGTTATTAACCAGTAGTCCAGTACACTTGTTTTATAACCAGTAATAAATGAACTGTAACGAAACTAACCAAAAATATGCAAACTAGCCCAAACTAACCCGTCCACGTAATGCGTACTAGTCCTTGCATGTATTGAATTTAGAAAAAAAAAAAACAGCGCGGCGCGCTTTGTTATTAACCAGTAGTCCAGTACACTTATAACCAGTATTAAATGAAATGTAACGAAACTAACCAAAAATATGCAAACTAGCCCAAACTAACCCGTCCACATAATGCGTACTAGTTCTTGCATGTATTGAATTTAGAAAATAAACAGTGCGCTTCGCGTGCTTTGTTATTAACCAGTAGTCCAGTACACTTGTTTTATAACCAGTAATAAATGAACTGTAACGAAACTAACCAAAAATATGCAAACTAGCCCAAACTAACCCGTCCACATAATGCGTACTAGTACTTACATGTATTGAATTTAAAAAAACAAAGCAAACTACCGCTGACGAATTGACGAACAAAAAATAATGAGTATTAGGTATAGATATATGAATTCTAGACATGAGGCGTTTTCTCGCGTCTACTTTTTTGAAACTGGTGCAAAACTGTTTTGAAACAGTACATTCTCGCGATAAACCCATGATGTCACGTGAAACTTGTTTCAAACCGTTTCG